CATTTCATTATTAATAAATTAAATTTTAAACAAATAAACACTACAACATTTGCATCAATTTATAATACTAATGTATAGCTTCTCTATCGTCATGTATTATAAATTTATAAAACTTGTGTGTATCAATATTATCTTAATTTTTTACATCATCAATATAATAAAAAAATTAAATCTAATTTCTAAAATTTATCAATTATATGATTTTTATTTTATTTATTTAAAATATATCATCTAGAACATTCTTTTATTAAAATTATTAAATAATATAAACTAGTAAAAGTCAATCATATTCATTTTTTATTGATCATATATATGTGACAACCACGTCATAATGGTTTCAAACAAAACTAGATTCCTCAAATAATTTTGCAGTATAGAGAGCAAATCTAGGTCATCTCACAAGGACACAAATTTACTTTGATTCTAATTTTAAACATGCAACAGTGGTTAAACTTCAGTTTTAAACATACAACAGTGGTTAGACTGAGAGTTTTGTAGTTTTTAAGAATTTAAACAGAAACATAAATTAGAATTGAAATGCATTAATGTGAATAAAAACAATGACAATGACAACCAGAAATATGAATTGGCAACAGAAATTAAATTGCAAGAATACTGGAAAATGCAGTAAATCAACAATTGGATTGAAATTGAATTAAATCAGTAAATTGAAAACCAAAAAAATGAAAACAAATTAAGAGAAAAATCCTAGAAAAACGAAAATGACTTGAAACTCCAAAAAAACAAAAACGAATTAAAAGAAAAACAAACGCAGATTAAAACAAATGCAACTTAAACGAACACGAATTAAAACCAAGAATTACAGACAGAACAGGATTACTATACTAAATTTTCCTAAATCTCAAATGCAAAAGAAATCAATTGATCAATCTTACACTCAAGAATATAAATCAAATTCAATCGAATTATACATGCACAAATCTTGATCAAGAATTGCGAAAAAATAAAAAGACAAACTTGAAGCGATCAATTGGTCTCGCAATCGACGCTTGAGATGGGATGACTCGAGATTCAACCGTGTGAGAAAATAAAAATTAAAAATTGCAGTAGAATTGAAAATTGAATTTTTTGTAGAATCCGAAAAGAGGCAAGTAAACGGTAAAAAAAAAAAGTTTTCTCTCTAAAGCGGAAAAGTCTTACAAAAACAAAATTATGAAAAGAGAAGCGTTCCAAAATCAACCTTTTGACCCCTTTATATACTGGTCTTAAATGAGAAGGAAATAAATGGGCTAAGGCTGTGTTGCAAGTAATTACAATAAAAATTCTAAATACAAAAGCTATGTATTAAGTCTGAACTTCAAAGATTAATAAAAAATAGCTCCAAACTCCAAACAGTATGATCCATATGTCCAAATTGAAACCCAATAAGTCAGGAATCTATTGCAAAGCCAAAAAGGAAATCTACAAAAAAAGTTATGGCCAAAATAGTAGACAAATGTTAGAATAGAGAAAAATATGAAATATAAAGTAAAGATAATAAATATTTATAAAAACTCAAATTTAATGCAAAAACATGCTAAATGAAAGAAATAAAGAAGGAAAAGATATTTTGGAAGATGCAATAAGACTATAAATGTAAGTACAAAATATGAGTCATCAATATGTCACTAATTTAAAGTATACTTCGTGCAAATTTTATTTTTACAATTAATTAAAAACATACTCTCTCGAATATTTCTTTATTCTCTATTAAAAAGTATTTTATTTATATACTCATTAATTAATTAAAATATTTTTATCATATTAATGCAACAATTTATAGTGTTATTATATAGCGTCTCTACTTTTATACGCTTTAAATCGTTAAGACTTTTGTATACCAATGTTACCTTGGGTCCTATGCAATATAAATTTATCCAATTAAGTTTTAATCTTTTATTAAATAATTATCTTCTTTAATCAATTTAAATATATTTATTCCTTTCATTAAATAAAATTAATTTCATATTTTAATTTTTCTTAAGTCATATTTCTAATTTTGGTAAATTAAATAACCAATCATTTCTTCATTTTATTATACAAATTTTTGCAACATCAATATGTGATTTACATTGTCATTGATTGTCCAATAAATTATAAGAGATTTATGTATAACTTACGCTATTTTAAATTCTCTTTCAAAATAAATTATAATTCAAATATAAATTTAAATATTTCTTTTAAAAATAATATTTTTTTAATGATTTACAATATGGTTGTGATTTTCCTTCACCTTCTATATTGTTTATCGTATAATATATGTATAACCACGTTATCTTGTATCCTAAACATTATAATCTTATGAAAATCATTTTAATCTCAAAATAAACTTTCTTTTACTAAATTTAATTTTAATAAACCAATTTTAAATTTTTTATGATAGAACTATATGGCTTTGAGTTCCCCATTGCACTTAGGGATATGTAAGAAGGGAATCAAGCCTATCAAGTTAAAACAATTTTTAAAATATTTTTTTCTTTTTCTTCCTTCTTAAGATACCCATTAATATTTCAATAAATATTTTTTTCCTTAAAAATAAAAGTAACAATAATATTGTTTAGGGGTTAAATATTTTTTTAAATTAAAATAAATTTGCACAATTAATTCAAAGTAACTATTATTTACATGGATGTTGTAAAGTGCTAATACCTCCTGAACTCATTTTTGGTTTCAAAGATTATGTTATTTTAAAATTTTTCTAAGGTTTGCTTAAATAAACTTTGACGACGAATCTTCTAATTTTTTAGAAAATATCTTTTTATTCTTAAAAGATGTTTTCCTTAAACTTGTTTTCACCGTATCGTTGTGACTGCTTAGTTGGAGATACCCTAACAAGAAGAGGTGTCATCTAATTGCTTTGAAAACTTCGATTAAGCCTATGGAGTATAGTGGTTTAGCAGTTCAAAATTTGATTGAGATGAATAAGGCCTGTGTCATGAGGTTGGCCTGGCAAATTAGGCAAGGTCATACTTTTCTTTGGAGTAATGTGTTGCTGGCCAAATATGACAGATCTGACAATCTTCAACAAGATTTCTCCTCCAAGTCTTTTGACTCCAAGTTGTGGAAGAGCCTAGTTGAAGTTTGGCCAAGCATAAAAATCTAGTGTTAAAATTGAAAATGGATGTATTATTAGCCTTTGGCATGACAAGCAAGTCGATCCTAATGTTCAGATCAAAGATTTGATCTTTAATATTCCCTTTGATCTTAATGACATCATAGACAGTTCTTGTTTGACTTCCTCAAGGACCTGGAATTGCGATATGATTTCTAATCTCTGCTCTCCTTCTATTGTCAATCTGATTAGAACCATTCTCCCCTATACTGCCATTAAATGAGATGATTATATAGGTTGGCCTAGTTATTCAAGAGATTATACTGTTAGTAGTGCATACCAGTTAATGGGTTCACTCATTTGGTTTCAAATGTTAAGTGGTCTTTAATTTGGAAGTTCAAGGTTTCTGAATGAATCAAGAGTTTTCTTTGGCTAATGGCTCATAATCGTATTCTAAGCAATATAAGATTAAAGAGGTGGGGAGTTATTGGTAAGTATTTCTAGCATTATCTTCAACAGGATAAAAGTACTTTCCACGTGCTTCGTGATTGTCTAATTGCTTCTATGATATGGACTCAATTAGTTTCTTTAGCTCACAAAGCTTCCTTTTTTTTTCTTCTTGATTCTTAGAGCTAGTTCTGGTTTAACATGAGCAAGGAGGATCAACATATGACTTCTTACCCTTGAAACCTTATCTAGATTGTCACTATCTATTTACTCTGATCTAGAGGAATAGTTGTTTGCATGATGCTCATTTTAGGATTCCCCTCAATCCAATTATTACCATTCTCACAAGACTCAGACATATTTCCTCTACTTCTTTTTATACATGAATCTTCTATTTCTCCATAAAGAACATGCACTAACATAGCAACCAACATCTAATTGAGAGCTTATTGTTAATTATAATGGAGTTGGCAAAGGAAATTCCAGTCCTGTTGCAGCAGGTGGTCTCATAAAGGATCAATATGGTAATTGGCTCAAAGATTACCGTCATTAATTGGAGCAAACCTCAGTTTATAAAGATGAGCTTTGAGGGTGTTATAGATGGTCTTTCCATGGCCAAAGAGTTAGGTTTGCATAATTTGGAAATTCAACTTGATTCTAAAGTAGTTATAGGAGTCATTTTGAGTAAATGCTTCAACAATTCACCTTTATATTGTCTTCTCTTATCTTGCTAATTTTGTAGAGCTTTTAACTCCTCTCCTCCAATTATCTTTCCTTTTTATCGAGGATGTCATGTGTATTACTTTCTATAGAATTGTCATTTGGTAATCTCTCTCTTGAGATCTTGACCTGTCTTTTACAAAAAAAAATAAAATTATTTACATCCCTAAATTATGTTTTCATTTAAGAATGATCAAGTTCCAACATTTAAGTTGATGTCTTTGCCCTTCACCTGACTTATCAGACGATACAAAAGGAAAGAAGTATACATATAAAAAGTATAAAATCATCACTCAAATGACGGTCAAAGATTTCTATAACTTATAACAAAAAAAAGATTTCTATAACTAAAATTTCTTGGTACAAAAATAAAATTTAACAATGAAAATGAGGTCATGATTCAAGATGCATAAAGTAACAAAAAAAATTATATCAACAAATTTAAATGATTTCTGGACTTAAAATTCTATAAGTTTTACTTATGAAAATAAATTAAAACTTCCAAAATTATGTCTCTAGAAGTAAAAATTTTTGAATTTTATTTCTGAAAAGTTGTTGATTTTAAAAATTAAATTCCAAAAAAAAAATCTTAAAACTAATAAAGTTATTTATAAAAATAAATTAAAAAGTGCTGTAAATGGAGAAAAAAAAAAAGCTTAATAAATTAAGTGATTATGACCAAAAAAAAAAAAGGTTATTGATTTGTATCACAAATTTTAACCGGAACATGGGCATTGGATCATAACCCTAACATCTTTAGTTTATGCTGCGGGGTGTACCCACAGACCCGCACCTGTTCTTATCTCAGCTTCAGAAGTGCATACCAAAATTATCATGGAACCAACCATTTCACAAACCAATTGTATCTAATGATGCATCTATGCTCGGTGTTCTTATTGCATCCCTCAAGGACTTTGTCACCCATGGACACTTATCAAATGCATTCAAAACCTTCTTTCATATCCAACACCGTGCAGCTTCTTCAATTTCTTTCAATATTCTGTTACACCCCATTAACTCTCTTCTCTTGGCTTGCACCAACCTTAAGTCTTTGCCACAGGGTAAGCAGCTTCATGCCCATGTCATTTCTCTGGGTCTTCATCACCATCCTATGTTGGTTTCACGGCTTATTAATCTTTACACAAGTGTTAATCTTCTTCATGATGCTCAAAGTGTCACTGAGAGCTCTAATAGTTTGGATCCCTTACATTGGAATTTGGTCATCTCGTCGTATGTTAGAAATGAGTTCTTTGTGGAGGCTCTTTCTGTGTACAAGAAAATGTTGAATAAGCAGATTCAACCTGATGAATACACTTACCCGAGTGTTCTCAAGGCTTGTGGTGAATTGTTAGATTTGGATACTGGTTTGGAAGTTCACAGGTGTATTGAGGGTAGCTCCATGAAGTGGAGCTTATTTGTGCACAATGCACTCGTCTCCATGTACGGTAGGTTAGGGAAACTGGATGTTGCTCGTCACTTGTTTGATAATATGTCAGTTAGAGATGCTGTTTCTTGGAACACTATAATTAGTGTTTATGCTTGTAGGGGTATGTGGCAGGAAGCGTTTCAGCTATTTGGAAGAATGCAAGAGGAGGGTGTTGAAATCAATGTAATTATATGGAACACAATTGCTGGAGGGTGCTTGCATTCTGCCAATTTCAGGGGGGCACTTAAGCTGATTTCTCGGATGAGAGCATCCATTTGTTTGGATTCCATTGCAATGGTTGTTGGATTAAAAGCGTGTTCCCACATTGGCGCCCTTAAATTGGGAGAGGAGATTCATGGTCATGCTGTACGAACTTGCTTTGATGTGTTTGACAATGTGAAGAATGCATTGATTACAATGTATTCTAGGTGTGGAGTCCCTGGGCTTGCGTATACATTGTTTCATAAAATGGAAGAGAAATGTTTGATCACTTGGAATGCCATGATTTCTGGATATGCTCACATGGATCGAGCCGAGGACGTCTCCTTCCTCTTTAGAGAGATGTTAAATAAGGGCATTGAACCGAATTATGTGACCATTGCAAGTGTTCTTCCCCTCTGTGCTCGCATAGCAAATCTACAGCATGGCAAAGAGTTTCATTGCTACATCATGAAGCATGAACAGTTTGATGAATATTTATTATTGTGGAATGCCCTAGTGGACATGTATGCAAGGTCTGGCAAAGTTTTAGAAGCCAGAAAAGTGTTTGATTCATTGAGCACAAGAGATGAAGTTACGTATACTTCCATGATTATGGGATATGGTATGAAGGGAGAAGGAGAAACAGCTCTACAACTATTTGAAGAGATGGGAAAGCTCAAGATTAAACTGGATCATGTAACTATGGTAGCGGTTCTATCAGCTTGTAGTCATTCTGGTCTTGTAGGCAAGGGGCAAATGCTTTTTAAAAATATGGTAGATGTTTATGGGTTAGTTCCTCGTCTAGAGCACCATGCTTGCATGGTTGATCTCTTTGGGAGGGCTGGTCTTCTAAACAAGGCAAAGGAGGTAATCACAGGGATGCCATACAAGCCAACTCCAGCAATGTGGGCAACACTCATAGGAGCTTGTCGAATCCATGGTAATACAATGATGGGGGAATGGGCAGCGGGAAAATTGTTGGAAATGAAGCCTAATCATTCAGGTTATTATGTGTTGATTGCAAATATGTATGCAGCTGCTGGTTGTTGGAACAAACTAGCTCAAGTGAGGACTTATATGAGAGATTTGGGTGTGAGAAAGGCTCCTGGTTGTGCTTGGGTTGATGTTGGCACTCAGTTCTCTTCCTTTTTAGTGGGAGACATTTCCAACCCTCATGCGTCTGAGATTTACCCTTTGATGGATGGATTGAATGAGCTAATGAGAGATGCTGGTTATGTACGTAGTGAGGAATCTGTTTCATCCGAGGAAGATTTTGAAGAGATGAATATTGAGGGAAGTGCATACTGAAGAGGAGCTAAACATATCAATATCATATCAATATAGATGGTTATTCTTATATTCTTGTAGTTAGTTTATACAATCCCATATGAAAGGCCTAAAAGGCAAAAAAAATTGCTTAATCAGTGGTTGGACCAGAGAAAAATTGAATTCTTCACTCTAAAATTATAATCAGTTTATTTTGGTATGGCCATTTTACTTTATTAGCGAATTTGATTTCATTACTCCAATCGCTAAGGCTAGCCATTTCGTTTATCAGTTAACCTTATAGAGATTAAGTGATGCCTCAACATTTTACAGAGAACAACGCCTGTTGATCTGCTAAACCGAATCATACATTATTGAAATTAATTAAAAATTAAATTATCTAAAATATTATTTATCATTATTTTTTTTAATATTTTTTCTAATTTTTTATAAGTTTCTCTTAACTTTTTTTACCGGACTAAAAATTATGTTTTATAATTAATAATAATCTCCATAAGAGAATAATAACTACACATACTTGAAAAAGTTAATTTAAATATGCGAAATAATTGAGAAAAAAAATCTCCAAAGAGATTGTATCACTTCCTACTTTTCTCCAAAAAAATAAAATAAACTCGTGGCATGTCGATGTCCAGTATAGTGATAACGTAATAAATTTTACACAGGAAATTAAGCCCAAATTTAAATCATTCTCAAAATGCATTCTCGAAAGCGCTGAACAGTATTGATAAAGAAAGCAAACAATAACTATATGTTTGCATGTGTATATGCGCAAAATTGGGAATTCCCTAATTCCATCCAAAATTTCCTACAAAATTTTAGCTCGAATACAGTCCCAAGGGACCCATTTCGGACTAAAAAGGGGTAAAATGTTTGTGAGGCTAACATTCTCTCAACACGATGGGACCAGACCATTTCGCAGCTGAAACAGTGAAGGCTAGAAAGGAAACATGGACTGTAGCACATAAAAGAAGAAGTTAGCGATCAACATCAATCAACTCCACATCAAATACAAGCCACGAATTTGGTGGTATACTCCCAACGCGCTTGTCTGCGTATCTGCGAAACAAAAAACAAAACGCTAAGCATAAACAACGTAAGATACAATTTTCACCAGCCAAAGTCATCCACAATCAGACTCATCCCCACAAGAAAGGATAATACATCCAATAAAAGAAAATTCAATTAATAAATTTAACTAAATTCCACCGAATTTCATACCCCATAGATGGTGGAATTGTGATCCTTCTTTTGTCCCCAATTCTCATCCCTGACAAAAGCAAAAGAAGAATACTATAAGTATAAAGAATATATATAGCATTAAACAGCATAAAATTTTATTACTATATATTACCATTGACCCCAACCTCCCACCCCTTGATAACTTGTCCTACACCTGCAAACACAAAAAGTAATCGGTGAAGACATATATGAAGGAAAATCCCAGAAAGTTCAACACATCTACACAGAATATACCAAGGCGAAATTTAAAGGGCGCTCTTCCCACATTTGAGTCAAATATTTTCCCATCTTTTTTCAGTTTGCCAATATACTTAACACTGACCTGAAATCAAATAATAAGTTCCTGTTAGAAGGATACATTAAAAAATAGGTTAAACCAAATTACTCTTCAGTAAACTAGGTCAATTCAATCATAAAAAAATCAGTAGGTGTTGCATAACCTTCTTTCCAGGAGCAGCTCTTTTGCCATCAGGTTTACCCATAAATACCTCCTCTATAACCAATCCATTAGAAAAGGTTCTCACTTGAGATGGTTTGGCTTCAGTTTGTTTCTTCCCCTTTTTCTCTGGGGTGGACAAATTCTTATTTTCAGCAGATGAAGAAATTTGATTCCCAGCAGCTACCCCTTCAGATCCTTTGGTCTTTTTCTTCTTTTTCTTCTTCTCAACAAGGACCCTGCCCCAAAAACCAAATAGTTAGCAACATAGTATATAATATTAAGAGTGTAACAGAGATGGAAGGAAATCCAGCCTCCTAAATTTCCAAGCTTTAATGTTTCAAGCAAGAAAAGAACACATAATTTGGAAACATCATCAGAACCAATAAGAACTGCCATGAGCAGTCATGTATTATTAGATATAACTGTAACAATAACTAGAATGTTGACAGTTATGGGTAGAAGTTAGGAGCGGCAATCCATTATCAGAATATGTTGTAGAAAATAACTTATCCTGCATTAGCAGTTCCGTATTAGTTCAGTATTACAATTAGACTGTGGAATTGGTCAGAAGATGTTGTTATTTGCAGTTTGTGAAGAGAGAATACTCTCTGTATGAGACTTTTGTCTCTGGGACAGTAAGAGTATTGCTGTATCATATGAGATTTTATTGGTTTATCAATTGGGGTTCTATCAAAATGACTCACCAGCTACGAAATTTACCACAAAACCAAGCAAGACCTGACAATTTCCAATGGAATTTATAGTTCAATTGACCACATCTTCTAAGGATTTGGTCAACAGAAGAAATGGGCATTGCATATCTCTAAAAAAAAAAGAACAATTGAAATGCTTTTGTGGATTAAATATTTCAATCAACCATCCATACCAGAAACACCAAAACACCTATGCAGTGTGACTGATAGCCTAGTTAGATGAAAGATCTTACTCATTATTGAAAGGCTTTCCATCATGCTCATCCTCTGCATGAGAAACATTGTTCAGGTTGGTTGTAGTTTTACCGTCCTTGGGATGCTTTTCATCAGGTGTAGCAATAATTGTCTCATTGCTATTGCCAGACACATGAGCACTTTCCCCTTTACCATGTTCTTTCAACTTGTTGTTCTTCTTCTTCTTCTTTTTCCTGAAACCATTATCAGAAACATTCAGAACCAAAAAACAATCACAAATAGAGACAATGACCAAAACTATCTATTTAAGGTTAGGCCAGGGGAAATGTCAGATTGAAATCCATTCTTGGGAGTTGTTAAACTGGTAGATCATCCTCACCCATCTTGTGGCTGCTCATCTTCTTCAGCACTTTCAATTTTTCGTTTTAAGCTAGCAGAATGATCAACATCTTTTCCCTTCTTATTGGCTTTCTCAATTTTCTTATGTGCTTGTTCTCCTTTCATTTCTGCCTCTGCATTCTGAGAAACAGACTTACTTTTCTCTGCAGCGGAAATCGGAAAACCATCTTCATCTTCACTTTCCAGAACAAGGTCAGCCTCACCCCCAACGACAATTGGAAGTTCAGAACTTTTGCTGTTTTTCTCTTTCAACTGAGCTTCCTGTTTTTTTTTCTTTAATTGCTTAGTTAGATCATCTCCATTTTCAGGTCTATCATCATCTACTATTTCCTCAATCACAACTGTAAGAAAAGTCCAAAAAGTAGAACATAGTATGTCATTCATGCTGATTTTAAATTGAAAAAAGATTGTGTACAGTGAAGCACTAGAACTTCCCTCAGTTTTTCACTCATTTTTCAGCTTTCTTTCCTACTTTAATGTACCAGGAATGAATACAAAAGTCAAACATGAGGCAAATACAGTACTAAAGAATGATTACTAGTATTATGTGTGACAGAAACATAACAATAAAACTTATAATAATGAAAGAGAGAAATGTTGATGCGATATAATAGAGTATTTATCACTATACAATAATGAAACTGCACATCCACAATCAGTTACAAAATTTCTTGGATCATTCTAGACCTCTACGGAAAAACATGGCCACAGGATTTGATTATTTGATAATATTAATTTTTTATTTTAACAGAAATTTAATATTTGAGTATCTGTAAATAAATAAAAACATCATGTGAACATTAGTTAGAAAACTACATAATAATTAAAAGAAAAAGAAACATAAGAAACGAGCAGAAAATATAGATAATCATTTCATGGCTTCAAGAAGAAAAAGACCATACAAACATTGGTTAGAAAACTGCATAATAATAAGAAGAAAAAGAAGCATAAGAATAGAGCAGAAAGTATAGATAATCATCCCATGGCTTCAAGAAAAGTTGATAACAGAATGAAAATACCTCCACTGTTTGGAACTGGTGAAGATGGGTACATGTCAATATCACTATCATCAATAAAGTCATCAGCAAATTCATCTTCACTATCAAATTCAGATGACTCCTCTGACTCAGTACCTTCAATATCCTCTCCCAGCGAATCACTTTCACATTGTAGTAGGAAATCAGAAGATTACTAAGAAAAATGTTACACCAGGCATTCTTTCTTAATCAAAACCATATGAACAAAATTTAAATTGCATCTGAATAGAAGCAAGCAAATGGAAGTTCTTCAAAAGGATACTATTCATAGTCATCCCTAAGGTCATCCCCATCATCAGCCACAAAATAACCAGAAAGATGGATGCTTCGTGAACCAATCACTGAGAATGCCACTAAGTCATCATCGTCAAACTCAAGATTCAAAGGGCATGACTCAATGTTATTTGGTAGCAATGAACACAAGAAGACTGGACTTTTGTGCCCAGAAGAGCACTGAAGAATGCTTTTCTCTGTTGATGTGCCAACGCCTAGAGTAGCCTGAATTTTTAGGACAAGAAGAAAAGAAACAGAAGGAAAATAGTTATTAAATACCATAAAATTTGATCTGAAAAGATATCAACAGACTGACTCCTTTAGTGTCATTGCAAACAAACACATATAATCAATCATATATGAATGCTAATGTTATGTTGAAATTCAAACATGCTTAGCAAGGCAGTACTAAAATCAGACTCTCACCAGAATCAGCGGTCACCACAATTAATTATTTATCAGCTAACACACATCACAAAAAGTTAGAACCGAGACTGGAGCTAATCATTTTTAATCCAGACGAACAGATAACAGATAACATCAAGCAAAATTATCCAAACTCCAAACTAAAATCACGTGGCAACCAAAACTCAAACTTAAGGCCAGTAATCACAGAAAAACAAACAAAACTGTGGACAACTTCAACACTCGGAAATAATTAAGAAAAACAGAATGAAAGTGTAGCATTACCCAAATGCAAGTGAGAGAAATAAAAAAAGTTCACAGAATGTGTGGTAGTATGAGTAAAAAGGAATCAGAGTCGAGATTATTAATGAAGAAGAACCTGAGTCACGTGAAGCTTTCCTCGCACATTGTCTGCATGATAAGGATACGGTTTGCTGGGTTTCACTTCAATCCCTAAGCTCAAGAAGAAGGGGGTAAAAGTTTAAAAAAAAATAATAATAACACGAAGAACGACGATTATCAATGAGAAATTCGCAGAACAAAAAATCCCAATCGGCATTTTATTATTTTCAGTAAAAGTAATGAAGTTCAATAAAAGAAAACGAAGAACAAGTTAAAGAAACACAAATAAGTAGGTTCATTCAGTAGCTAAGTAAATAAACTTCACAGTGATAAAGCAGCGAATACAAAAGAAATAACTGAAGTAGTTCAATGCCTCTCAGCTAGAAAACACACTGATAATTTGAAGGAGAATGAAGAGAAACTAATGGAAATGCAGAGAAAGATGAAGGTCACTAACCCCAGAATCCCATTGCTATTGCCACTGCAAATGTCAAACGAAATGAAATCCAACGTCAGGGTTCAAATTTCCCTATAAACCCTAAAAGTGACTGCCGTTTTGGGATTAGACTTGCCGTTCACACACTAACCCAAGTCAGCAAAATACGACACTTATTACACGGATTTAGCTTGTTGATCCAATTCCACGCTCGCATCGTTTAAATGGGCTCGGGTCGGGACCCATAACAGATATCACATTCTCACACTTCTAAATTTTGTCACAAATGGGTTCCAGAAATCAAGCTTCAAATGACCTAATCTTCTTGGACCAAAATAATGACCCAATCTTCATTTTTTGTTACTTCAGTATTTCTTGTGAATTCTTGAAATTTAATATTTAGTTTGTTTTTGTTTAGAGAGAAAAGATTGGAAATAATTTTAATATCTCATCCTTTATAATTAAAATCCTTTCAAATTACTAGATATATAAGCTATTAAATAATTTTTATATTAATAAATACAACCAATTTTTTCATTTAAGATTGACTTTAAACTAATAAAATAATTATTAAAAAATATATAACAAAAATCAAGGAATTAAAATATATCCTTGGTCATTAAACAGGAAAAAGTGTTCAATTATTTAGCTAACAATAATTTTTTTAAATCACTCAATTTGATGGTAAAATTTATAAAATATTCATTTTGTAAATTTGATTTTGAAATTATTGAATTTTTTTTTAAATACAATGTTTAATTTTTAAAAAAAAAGTTAATTTTATAATCTTTCAAAATAGTAATGTTTTAGGGAAAATAATAATATATCATAAATTTTAAAAAATATTATCCACGTGTACCTTTATTTGTTTTAAAAAATACTAATTTCGTTGACGAAGGACGCTTGAAAATGTGTATTATAGTGATCGTAAGAATCATGGTTACTGAAACCCCGATTCAATGCGTATTTGCTTTATGTGAAAATCTCATCAAACTAAGATTCTATTAATATTTTTGGCATTCTTGTAATATGAACTTAAAATTGTAGTACAAATAATGATTTATCAGATAGAGAAGTCAGTCTCACTAGATATGTAGTGTAGAGAGAAGACAAATACTTAAACATATGAAATCAATTGTAAGATGAATATAGTCCAGTTTTAGAATCCTTGATGTATCAATTGAAATGTGAGGCTATTATGATCCAATTGCAAGATATGACTTCAATCCCACGTTAGAAGTATGAGATTCTATCGTGCTAGCTTTTGTACTGTGGTTCTTTCAATGTTTTTACCAGAGGCATTGCCGGTAGCATCACGAAATCTTCATGGAGAATTATTCAGGCGAGACTCAAGAGTCCCAGAGAAGTATTTGTTGTCTATAATGATGGTGGTGTCAATAGCCGGCGACCAAAGAACAACACCGATGCGAACTGCTTCACAGTCAGTTCAATAAATTTTAGCTGAATGGCTTCTGATAAAAATTGAGCATCCTAGGGAGATCTAACCTTGGGCCATGTTTTCTCCCAAAAATCATGGGTTGGAATGGCAATGCACTCAATGCTTCACAAGCCTGTTGATATGGAGTACTGTTACCAATAGTCTTTGCATGAGCAGCTCCCATTCTCAAAACAATGAAACCTATTAGAATCTCTCACTATTATTTTTCTCTGAACAATTTTTGATATATATTTGATGGCGGTGTGACAGTCTACACAAGTTCTTAAATTTTTAAAAACCTTGATTGGAGTTCCTGGTGGAGTTGAAATGATTCCAAAGGCAACAGCAAGCTTCTCACTGTGGTAAACAAGGTTCTGCTCTTTCTGCTCCTCCTCTACATCATGTAGCACAAAGTTTGTGTCTGGAACATAGCCTTCTTCCTTCATTTTTTGTGAGAGTTCTCCCAAGAATTTGTGTATATCACTTGTTTTTGGGTGGGATGTATCTCCTACTAAGAACACATGCACTTGTCTTTTAATCTCAATCCAGCTCTTACCTGGCTTCTTCACTATCCCCCTATTTTCCATATCCTTTCTAACTTTAGCTACCTCAGCCCACCTACCAGCATTGGCATAAATATTAGCCAGAGTGATATAGGTAGCTGGATTCTCCGGCTCTATCTTAAACAATGCTTTTGCTGCTCTGTTAGCTAGTTCAAGGTTCCCATGTATCCTACATCCTCCAAGTAAGGATGCCCAAAGGAATTTATCAGGCTTTATGGGCATGCTATCAATGATATTCTCTGCCTCTTTGAATCGGCCAGCTCGTGCCAATAAATCAATAACACATGCATAGTGATCTGAAGTATGCATCAATCCATGTTTCTCCTTTATTGAGTGGAAATATTCTAAACCTTTATCTACCAATCCAGCATGAGTGCATGCAGAAAGAACCCCAACGAAGGTAATTTGATCAGGCTCAGTATCTGACTGAAGTATTAATTCAAAGAAATGAAGGGCCTCGTCTGGTTGACCATTCTGAGCATACCCAACAATGAGAGAAGTCCATGATACCAAATCTGGCCGAGGCATCTGGTTGAACACCCTTCTTGCAACCGTAATGTCCCCACACTTGGAGTACATATGAACAAGGGCACTTGCAGCAAATGAACACGGGTCATACCCCACACTCATCATGTACCCATGAACCTCCTTTCCCAGCTGTTCAGCAGCATGATCAGCACAAGCATTTAAAACTCCAGCAAATGTATACTCATTTGGTGTAATGCCTGACCCCATCAATTCTCTGAACAATGAAAACCCCTCTTCCCTTCTTCCGTCTTCAAAGCATCTATGAATCATGGTAGTCCACGAGACAACATCCTTATCCACCATCTGGTAAAAAATACCCCTAGCTTCATCTAAACTCCCACACTTGCCATACAAATCCAAAAGAGCACTCCAAACCACCTCATCCAAGTTCAACCCAGTTCGTATCAAGTAACCATGAATTTCCTTCCCAAGACGCAAGCAAGGAATGGCAGCAGAAGCAGCCAAAGCACTGGACAAAGTAAATTTATTTGAATTCGAACTCTCATGATTCTGCATCATCCTAAACAATTCAAGAGCTTCCAGAGGCCGATCATGGCTAACATAACCAGATATAGCAGCATTCCAAGAAAAGTTATCTCTGTGAGGCATTTCATCAAACAGTTTCCTAGCTTGTTCAAGCCGACCAAGTTTAGCATAACCAGCTATCATAGTATTCCAAGAACACAAATCCCTGTCACCCATTTCATCAAACAGCATTTGAGCATCCGCAAGGCTCCCACATTTGGAATACATATCAAGCAAACGGTTAGAAATGAAAACCCCAAGAACAAAGTTAGATGCTTTGGTGTGAGCATGGACCCTCCTACCCAGTTCAAGAGCTCGTTGACGAACGCAAGCAGCAATGAGGGTAGAGTATACACGAGCAGAGGGTCGATGAATACGATGGAGCAACTCAACCGCTTCCTTGACGCGCTTTTGTTGACATAAAACATCAATGGCTTCTTCAAAATCGTTATTCTCGCAGATGCGACTTAGGAAAGGATCTTTGAGCTTCAGATTATTAGGCTGCGCCCGTTTATCATAGCGGAATTGAGAGCGAGAGGAAGAGGAAAAGGCTCTCCAGAACCTTGCGGACGCAGATGATGCCATCCTCTTTTCAGTGTGACGGTAGTGATCTAAGAACGAACAAGAATGTTTTCTACATGTTACCACTTACTCAGAATCGATGGAGGAACAATGTGTTGCGTTGACAATCATATTCTTATTCATTCCTCCTACTTATAATCTATATTTAAACTTAACAACAGAGACTCTATTAAAAATTAAATTATAACAATTCATCTGAAAGTTCTGCAAATTTATCTATAAAAAAGAGAAAACTCCAGAGTAATCTACTTTTTAAATACTCATTTTTGTTTATAAAAAAATTACTTGACCAAATTTATTATTTGAAAAAATAAAGTCATTAACTAATTCTTTAAGATTTTAAATGTACAACACTTTTTTAATCTTTCCAATTCGTTCAAATGGGTATTTTCATAAATTAATTCCAATCACTAATAACAAAAAACTAAATTGTTGAACTAAATGTTTTATGTCTACAACGTGGAAGTGTCTAAGAACAATTTTAGTAATTTTATATTTCTTAATTGTATTGAATAATTTTTTTGAAATCCAAATAATTTTTTTTTTAACAGTATAACATTGCACATAATACAAAATTATACATATAGTAAATTTTTATTAAAAATTATAGTATTTAACAGTACTATATATCATATGTAACATTGCATACAAATTAAAAAAATAGTTCTATATACACACACAAACACTTGCACTCTGTCTGTGGGTTGGGGAATATTGTGTTACACAATCCAACTACAATCAAATTGTATAAGGAAGAAAGGAGGGACATTCCCCTTCCAAATTGAATGTAGAATTTTCTCTATAACCAGTTTGCCAACTGAGGAAATTGTTGCAGAAGCCATGTCACACTTTTGATCGCAGCCTGCATATATCAAGAAGAAAGTCAAACTCAGTCAATGGAGAACACACTCATGCACTGATGCACACCACACCCATGCACATGCATGCTTTGGCAACATATATGTTTTTTCTTCATGATCTGTGCGTTCTAACTCTTTCCCAAAACCTACATTGAATATGAAAGCTATGCCAAAACTGTTTATTATCCAACAAGGAACGGAAATATATGTTATTTAAAACTGAATTCGACCATTGTGCAGAAACCAACAGCATATATTGACCACAACATTACGTTAATTTGTCAAAACCAATGACAAAAAGGACCCGAGAACTGAAAGAGAGAACAATTTGCATACCAAAGTTGCTTCCCCAGGCTTGATTGCAGGTTCAACACTGTCTCGCCCATATCTGCGTTCAGACAAATTTAAGATTTATCAGTTAGTTGCTACTGTAAGATCATCTGAACAAGGATCCCATAGAGAATCTTGCAAGCTATTTGTATTTGGATATTAAGAGTTTAATCGGCAAATACTAGCTGTGTGTATAATATCAAAAATCAATAACAGCTTAGACCCAGAATAGGGGTTCAAAATTGTAATCTTATATGTCAAAAACAGAAATGAGAATTATGACAAAGTATCACTTACGTTATTTGTCTCTTGCCATTGATCACTTCTAGACGATAAAAACTGCACCCTTTGCTAAAGGGAAAAGGCTTTCCCTTCCATTCTGCAGCCACTTGCAAATGTTAATAATACACTTGAAAAAGAAATATTTTTATGAACAATATAGAAGCCGTATCATAGAATTTGCAATGCACCTAAATGCCATATCACCCCAACGGACGAGGAGTCCTCGGTGGACAAATCATCAATAACAAACTGCAGATCCCTGCTGGTAGAATTAGTGAATTTTTTGAAGAACTCTAGAATTTCCTGCACAATATATAATTAAAGCTAATACTAATGAGTTATATTATTGCAACACCCAGCTTTTGTAACACCTTTTTGCAACTCATTTTTTCGCTGTCTATTTATAGTATCACGCTTCTTATCCATCTCCACTTCTTTCTCTCTCTTTTTTCTACCTTTTCCTTAGTTGTATAAAAAGTTACGCAACAACGTTGTACAAGTAGAATTTCCTGTTATCATGCCCCTCTTGCATTTTGAGTCTTTAAAAAGATTATACTTTAATTCACTTATCTACCGCGAATCGTATTCTCATCACTGCCTTCCCAATCCAAGTGGCAACACTTTTTGACGAGAACACAAACTGAAAGTGTGAAATCTTTATAATTCATCATTCTACATAGTACATTAAGAGAAAATTCTGATTTATAAACATCTTAATCATGTCACCACCTATTTAACACTTTTCGTCTCTCTTCTTGTCACTTTTTGTCACCTATTTATCATTTTTCTCTCACCAAAGAAGGTGTATAAATAATATTGTCCATCGTGAAAAAGTAACTTTAGATCCTCTTACAACATCTACTCACTCCTTGTTTACTAAATAAAGCAACTGTGTTTTTTTATATTTACAAAATATTAAATGTGTTTACTTTTTTAAATTTAAGACTTTTATCTTTTATAAAGCATTGAAATGATTAATAGGAAAAGATATCTTCAGCGTGTGCGCCACAAATTTTTTGAAGAGGGAGATGGTGTGAATGAATTACCTTACGACCCACAAAGGGGTGGGGAAAGACAAGATCTTCATACACACAATTCTCGGCGATAAGGTACTCTACAGAATCCACGTCATGCGCATTGATTCCTCCATAGAAATTCCTCACCACCATCGAAGCTGACTCAACAACGTTATCATCCTCGACGCTTGTGGTAGCATGTGAAGCTACTGTAATTGACTGGTTCTCACCGCTCTCACAAACGCATCTCCATTTTCTTCTTCTTCTTCTTTTCCTTCCTCCCAGTTTTGGAAGAGCAAAAGAGGCATTAACTGAATTGAGAAAAGGGGTTCTCACGATTTTGGAAGACAAAGACAAAGGTGAAGCTGTGTTCAAAAGCAACAGAGTGCAAGTGGAACCCATGATAACCTCTTCACAGTTCACACTTATCTACACTGATCCTCTCATTCTACATTTGCTTTCAATCTCGTACTACTCAGTGTTAACTAACAACCTAAATACCAACCACTGATTCGACATCATACAAGTACAAAGGTTGTCTTCATGTTTGGGTCAAGCCATGAATATTTTACAGGCTCATTTTTCTGTGCTTGTTTTTTCAGTACTTGCATGAAAATTGGCCAACAAAGTTGAGAAGCCCAATTAATTAGAAGATGAAAAGCCCAAATTCTAGCCCAAAACCTCTCAAGCTATAGCATCGATATCTTTTTATTCTACTCTCTCTACGAGGGCACCGATTACCAAATAAAGTAATGTGATATAAAAAAAATCTTGTAGAGATATCAATGATATCAGACAAAAGGAAACATACTCGAACATCTTCATCAGGTTGACAAATGGAGTTGCAATACATCAGCTTAATTTATTTAATAATAAAATAAATCACACCACACTCTTCCACAGCCTATAAAACCCAGCCAATACAGAGTTCGTGGCCCTTTCGGTACACAAATAAACCTCACCCACTATCAATAAACTTTAAACAAATCTACCCATATAATGTAACCATACTCTCATACTTACACTAATTATCACTAATGGGACCCCCCCCCCCCCCTTTGTCTCACAACACAAATGGAATTTTATCACTATTCCATGAAACAGTAAGCTGTTCTTCATCGATCTTCTAGTGCTTTCATCTCCAGAGGGAGCACCAAAATAAATTCTGATCCAAAATAAACTTTCAGTAATCTAACTGCTTCCTTAATTTACCTCTTTCATTCCTGAAAGAAAGAAAAGAAATAACATTGACTTGTTCCTTTACCAGCTCTTGTTTCTTCAAAATCTAAGACAAGTCAAGTGGAGTGTTGGTGTCACCATCCCACCCATCTACTCACATATATCAATATGTCACTTCATCTTAATTAATTGATTAGTTACAAATACATAATTAAATGCAACATGATCCCAATTAATCCAAATACTAATTAATTAAATACTATAACCGTATGACGTATGTATGGTATATTTTCACCATTGGAATACCGTATCTAAGGATCCCAAAGAGAATCATTCTGCATATCCTCCCACTCGCTATCCTCAAACGCATACCCATTTGCAAACACCATGGATTGATCATCCAACATGAACGCATCAGGCATTTGCATCCACGTCTGAGGCGAGTCAAGAGGCGACTCATTGATAGCCTGAATCTGAGTCGGAGAGAGTCTCACGGTAAGTGGCGCAGCGGCGGTTGAAGCGGCGGAGGCACCAGTCTGGGGCGCCACCGTGTTGGTCCTAAGCCTGAGCGCAGCCTCGTGCGCCGCCATGCGTATGTGGTCAGCATTGTTGCTGACAGGGCGAGGAAGAGTGCTTGCAAGCTCAGGGAAGTTGAGCCTTGCTTCGCGTCCCCTGAAATGCAACGCAGCGACGTCGTAGGCAGCTGCCGCCATCTCCGGCGTTTCGAAACTCCCCAACCAGATTCTTGTTTTGGTTCCTGGCTCGCGAATTTCGGATACCCATTTCCCCCATTTTCTCTTTCGGACTCCTCTGTATGCGGAACTGGCAGCACCACTTGAAGAAGGCATGTCCATGCACGAAGGTCACTCAGTACTTGATTACTAGTACTACTGTTAGCTAGCTAGGTATATTCAAATGTGTTTTTTGTTCACGTTGAAATGGCTGGGAGGTAGCAAAGTTTGGAACTTGGTGATTGGTATTTATAGATGTGGATGAGTGTGCTTTTTAGTTGAAACGTGGATCCATTACAAGTATTTTGGTGAGCTTCCTCGTAGCTGCTTCGCTGAAGAGGAGACTTTAATAAATTAATACTGTGCACTTTGTTTCTAACAAAATCTATGTATGGTGTGTTGCTGTGACATTTTTATCTGTATTTTGATTGGATGGATGGAGGATGCTACTTTACGATGAATCTCAGTTTATATCTCGGTTTCTAACAAAATTTATAATTTTGGATTATGAATATTTGGAAAGTGAAAATGGGGAGATGGGAATTAATGAGGGGGTGCCATGTGTGTGTTTGTGTCAACTTTTGAGCTCGAAATTTGGGGAATGGATTGGCGCAGAATTGGTGGAGAGGAAATAAAGAATTGGATTAAGTGACAGAAAAGTTCCCTGTGCAGTACGCGTTTTGGGAACTTAGGTGGCCACGAATCCAAATTCGTAGAACCAAATGTAAAAGGTTTTGGAAATCTTAGATCAGCATGGCCATGGGAATTCATATATATTTTAAGCTATTACCACGCACTCATATCATCATCTGCTTTTTTTATTTCTTCCGGCAGCGACCCTTATGTCCAGGGTGATCTACATTTCCCCAAGATAAAATCATCCTAAGAAAGAAAAATACTTATTATATTTCTATTCATTATTAATTATCATCCATATATTCTTATTATCATATTATATTATGATACTTATCCATACGATACATTTACAAACATGGATGTTTCATTTCAAATTACTAATAAGATCAAATATACAAAGTAGCTGGTACAACATCATTTTGATCATATATATATACTCTGGTTTAAAATCTTCATTCTCATTCTACTCTGTGAAGATGAAAACAACTAGCTAAATTTATACTCTGGTTAAATTCCAAAAAACTTAGGGTTGTGTGTCCGAGAAGAAATCTTGAATGCAGTTATAAAAGTTTGTATCATAAGCTTGAATATAAAATTTACAATTTTATTGACCTTAACCTCTATAATTGAATTTAAGTATTTAAAAGATTTCTTTTATTAAAAATTATTTATTACTTTAGAGATATAAAGTATAATAATATTTTTAATAAATTATTATTATTATTATTATTATTATTATTATTATTAGTCGTTTAAATTAAACTTTTAAAGTTGAAATTAACATTTTCTTAAAATTTATTGAAATCAATCTTTTTTTAAATAAATTATATAATTTTTAAAATAAGCTACAAAAATTATAAATTTAAACTATTTTTTTAAGCTGCCTATAAACCTTCTATTAGTTGCTATTAATTTGAGGCGGTGATAGCTTAGTATAGATTTCTAGACTTTTTAACACAACTAATATAATTTTAATTTAAAATTACGTATTTAATGTAAATTTTAAATTTTATGTAATTAGTATAACTCGTATTTTTAAAATAATTTATGAATATTTTTTAAAAATGATTTAGTAAATCGTATTGTGTATATGTCAGACTTAATAAATTAAAATTATACTAGTTGCGTAAAGAAACCAGATTTCTAATTTCCTTATGTGCTATGTGATATAAGATAAGAAATCTCTTAAAAAATCTGTGACCTCTTCAGAATAGTAGAGATTTTTATTTTTACAAGAAAAATACAGATATTGGTTTTCCATATCTGACAAATATATTGAAAAATATACAGATAAATTATGAACAGTGTTTAGAGTAAGGATTGAATTAAAACTGTATAAATGTGAATCACTGTGGATGAAAAGGTGGAAGTCACTATTTTGCACCTTTTTTTCCTTATCTATGTCTCTGATGTGTTTTTTTATTATGCTTGGCAGCTAGACCAGAACAAGAATCCTCGTATCATTAACAAAGTACTCGATATATAAATTGACCCATATGATCTCGATTTAACATTTGTTCTTATTAAACTAAATTTTCAGCTATAAATTAATGGTTTGGTTAAAATAGGTTGAGTCAATATTTAGAATGAAAAGATAATAATTTCGAATATTAATTTTGAAGCTAAGTGATAAAATTTGAAAATCACGTGAAACGAAGCAGAAGCAAAAGTTGAAATTTCGAATATTATGTATTTGTTATTGTCAAATAGATTTGAAATTGACTGGTTCAAAGTCTAAATCCCCCACTCACATCCTTAAATGACCACTACACCATCCGTACTTGTGCTTGCCTCTTTCTTTTGGGTTTGGGAGGGGGAAAAGTAAGTTTCAAAGTATACTAGTGTTTTAATTTGGTGTGGGTATATACATGTATATCTATTTTGTTTAAAATATATTTTATATTTTTATAAATTAATAATTGTAATTCATATGTTTTAAATATTAATATCATTTTTAACTAAATTATTAATATTTAACATAAAATATAAAAAAATAACAGCATTATCATTAGTAAGACAGAAAATACTAAACTCTCTTAATTATAAAGAGTACCGTAAATTCTATCTATTTTTGGTTTGAGTTAAATAAAATTATCATGAATAATTTAGTTTTATTTAAAATGATTTTATAAATTATATAAATTTTTTATCTAAAGAGAATCTTGTTATATATATATATATATTATTTATTTGAATTAGATAAAATTACTATAAACATAAAATTCTCGTTCAGACAATTTTATTAAATATAATTTTGTTCTATTTGAATTATATATATATATATATATATATATATATATTAAAATAAGTAAATTTTTATTATTTAAATTTAAAAAATGAATAAATTTGAAGCAAGTCAAATAGAGGAAGAACTAGCTGGTTTAGTTGGAATAAGCAATTTGTATACACTTTTAAATTCTCAATTAAAAAAAAATTCATTATTTTATCACAAACATACATCAGTTTATTAATATATATATATATATATATATATATATATATTAATGACAGTTCCGAATTTAAACTATCGGTGAGAGCATATTTACTCAAAAGAGATTTCTAAAAAAATTTAAAAATATAAAATAAATATATTAATTTAGTTCAAAAATTATAAACCCGATAACATAACTAATAGAAAGCAAGTTTTGTTGAATTGAACCAATTGTGTGGGGAATGGTGCTAGGTGGTAAAATAATTGTGTTTCGTTTCAAAGAAAAATAAAATAAAATTCAAAAAATATTTTTTTAAATTATATTTATTTTATTATAAATAAACAAGTGGATGATTAAATTCAACCAACTCTTTGGAGTTTAATTTGAAGTAGTCTAATTTAACAAAATTTTAAATACACTAAATAATTCTAAAAAAAACCACATTATTTATTTATCATTTTTAATAATGGTGCTAGATATGATGGTAGAATAATTAATTTCTCTTTCAAATTATATATGATATATTTGGATAATACATTTTAATCAAACACTTTTAAATAAATTGGTCTGTAAAGACTTATGTCATAATTTTGACTGTATTTTAAGAAACTTATTACAATAACTTATTTTGAACTTATAGAAACATTTATTTGTACAGTTTTCTCATAATTTTGAAAAAGTAACATTCATAAATTTGCGTACAAAAATGTAAAACTAAAACAATTTCTTCAATAGACCCTTTGTTTTTTACTTTCTTCATCTTTCTAAAAACATGACAAATGTTATTTCTAATTTAATTCATTGAAAATATATTATTTTAATATAGTTACAAATGTCTTTTATATATTCTCGTATATATATTTTTATTTGTATTTTTTACTTTTTACGCTAATTGTTTGTGTTTTGATTTAAAAACAAGAATGTTTGGGTGAACAAATGGTGGCAATATTTGACGACATCATTTAACTTAAAGAAAACAATGTTAAGGCATTTACACAAAAACGTAAAAGGTTTCAATCAATTCAATTATAGCATTCCATTGTTGCTATCTTTTAAGAAATATCTCAACCTGTAACTAACAGATTCACATACGTTAATCTGAAGCAATAATGTTTTCGCAATAAGCGCGTTAGATTTTTTTTCCCCCATATAAAGTGGAGCTGAGCTGAGCATTCACCATTTCCCAAGTATTAACATGTGTAACAATTTATTTGGAAATGAGACAACACCTAATCTCAAATATTATAATTTCTAAATCCATCTAAATTACACCCAATGAATCATAATAATAACCCTTTAACACACTTACAATTTTTTTCTTTTAAATATCAACATTTTATTAAAAATAAATTTAAAATTCAAAAAGAAATCTCACCTATCACAACTTCAACAAGAATTAACAATAAATATTAATGGATTATTTAATCTAATTTATAATCTATCTTCTTAAAAGTTTTGCTGCAAGCATATACATATTCTAAGTATTTAATCCAAATTTTAATCTCTTCTTCTTACTCGTTTTATGAAGTACACTATTTACATTAATTCTTTTTTTATCATCATCTCAGCAACAATATTAGATTGTTAGAAATTTATTTTATGACTTAATACATAATTAGTCTCGTTTAACTTATATAAATATTGAATAATCAGGTCATCAAATTTTAATACACTTAAAGTTAGTTTAATTTAATATGTAATTTTAATTTTGAATTAATAGTATTTATTATATTTGTTGAAGAAAATAATAATAATAATAATAAGCCTTAATGTAGAATCGTAATTAAGAAGTCGAGTGTGTAATAATTCAATTGTGAATTGTTTTTAAAATACTTGTATATCCCAGTGGTAATGTATCCCACGTCGGCTTATGCGTACTTCAAATGATGAGAACAACTAATCAGGTTCCACAGTTTTTTTTTTTTATTCCATTGTTCTTAAGTTTGTTTTATCTTATTGGTTTCTAAGAATGTCAACTTTTAAGATTATGGATATTATGATAAAAGTGAACCAAAAGTGAATAAACGCACTGAATCTAGTGGACTACAACAAATGACCATGTTTGTGTCATAATAATTTATTGTTACGGAAAAATATAAATAACAATTATTTATTTATTTTTCTTAACACATGTTTAAAAATATAGAGTGAAAATTTATTATATTATTATTATTTTATCATGGGTCGTTAAGTACACATTAAAATCTTGATATTTATTATTAGATAATTTATTTGAACAATCAATATTATATATACTCATTCAAGATCCATTGTACTAAATCATAAACTTAA